TTACTGTCTGTTTTTCTTTTAGTATATATTTTTTATTGACTTCAGAGAGAAAGGGTGAGAGGGAGAAAGAGAAACATCAATGATGAGAGAGAATCATCAATCGGCCCTCTCCTGCACACCCTCCACTGGGGATTGAGCCAACAACCTGGCTTAGCACAACAATGGGAATTGAACCATGACCTGGTTCATAGTTCAGTACTCAACCACTGAGCAACATCAGCTGGGCTGAGTGTTCTGTTACAAGTCTAACTTTATTTCATTTTACATTAGATAATTCACCTGATAAAAACTAGTGTGCTTTCCTCACTCCTAATTTATTTTTACTGTTAAATGTAACAAAGGAGTGTTCTATGACCTCATACGATTAGCTCTCACCTTTCTTTGGCTTGAAATTTAATTGTAAATTTACCATACAGAAATAGTTTAAAAGAAAACATTTTAAATTTATAAATATAACATATTTTTATCTGATAAGAACATACTTTCAGAAGGCCATGGATATCTTTTCAGTACTATACCCAGCTTCTAGAACAGGGTCTGGCAGAAGTACATACTTAATACATACTGATAAATGAATGCCCTCAGTTATCTCAGCAATTTTTTGGTATGTGATCCAGGTTTTCGCTGACCTGTTTTCCATCAGTTTAATTTTGGCATTTCATGAATTTTGGCATTATAGGAATCATTTTTATAATTGCATTTTATACGTTTTATATAAATCAATTGTATTTATTATACAAATTTATAATGTTTTACTAATGGGGACCATGTAAGCATTTTGTGTTTTTGTCACTTGGCTGAGAATAGTGTTATTTTTACTAATGAGTACATACATACACTGGATATACCAGTTTGTTTAGCCATTCAAACTCGTGAAAGATTTGTTTCCTGGTTTCAGCTGTTATAAATCATAATGATGCTATGAAGTCTGTGTACAGTGTTTTGTGTGAATATAAACGTCTATTCCTCTACAATACATATACAGGTAATGATTATTGGGATATTTGTTAAGTTATATTTAGCTTCATAAGAAATTACCAAACTCTTCCAGAATGGCTGTACTATTTTATATTCTTCCCAGCAATGTGTGAAGTCTGAGTTGTTCAACATCCTCTCCAGCACCTGGTATGTTCAGTGTCTTCTACTTTGGCCATTCTACTAGCCACATAATGTGAGATTTTTAAAAATATATATATTTTATTGATTTTTTACATAGAGGAAGGGAGAGGGATAGAGAGTTAGAAACATCGATCAGCTGCCTCCCACGCACCTCCCACTGGGGGTGTGCCTGCAACCAAGGTACATGCCCTTGACCAGAATCAAACCTGGTACCCTTCAGTCTGCAGACTGATGCTCTATCCACTGAGCCAAACCGGTTAGGGCAAGAAACTGACATTTTCTAAAAATTAGAAAATTACAACTATAATCAAGTGTTTGGCCAAGTAAATTATTAATGCTATGCGCATATAAAGTTAACTTAGTAAATATTAAAAACACTAGAGGCCCAGTGCATAAAAATTTGTGCACTTGAGGGGGGGCGGGGGGGATCCCTCAGCCTGGCCTTTGGCCTCTCACAGTCTGGTACCCCCCCCCGCCCCGGGGATGGGCCTGCAACCAAGGTACATGTCTTTGACTGGAATCGAACCTGGGACCCTTGAGTCCGCAGGCCGATGCTCTATCCACTGAGCCAAACCAGTCAGGGCAGTATTTGTCTTTCTCTGACTTATCTCACTTAGTATAATATCCTCAAGGTCCAAGCATGAGTTGCAAATGTCAGGATATCCTGCTTTCTCATGGCTGAATAATATCCCATTATGTATACATAGGTATATAATCCTATATAATAAAAGTGTAATATGTAAATCGACTGAACGGCCCAACAGCAGGACGACCATCCAGACGACCATCTGGAACCACACTATGATACCCACTGAGTGGTGCCAGGCCAGCCAAGGTGGGTGCAATGCAATTGGTTGAGGGCCCGGCCATCACCCCATGATTGCCCCACAGAGGGAGGCCTAGGCCACCAGCCGACAGGGTGATCAATTGGGGGTAGCAGGGGGTGCTCCACAATTGCCCCAAAGAAGGAGGTCCAGGCCACTGAGCAGCAGGCTGCAGCAGGTGGGCAGTGCTGGGTCCTAGGTCCCAGGTCCTGGGTGCTGGCAGCCATGGGAAGGAAGGCCTACTCTTGCACAAATTCCATACATTGGACCTCTAGTGTATATATAACATATATACATAACACACCTTTGTCCGTTAGTCCATTGATGAACACTTAGGTTGTTTCCTTTTCTTGTCTATTGTAAATAGTTCTGTAATAAACACGGTTATGCAGATATCTTTTTGAGATATTTTGTTTTCTTTAGATAAATACCATAAGTGGAATTGCTGGGCTGTATGATAGATCTCTTTTTTAATTTTTAAGGAATCTGTACTGTTTCCCAGAGTTGCTGCATAAATTTTACAATCTCTTTTTTTTTTTTATGTTTCCACTAGTGGCCTGATGCATGACATTCATGTATGGGTGGGGGGTGTCCCTCAGCCCGGCCTGCACCCTCTCCAATCTGGGACCCCTCGGGGGATGTCCGACTGCCGGTTTAGGCCCAATCCCGCGGCCTAAACTGCTTCCCTGCCAGCCTGATCGTCCCCAACTGCCCTCCCCTACCTGTGGAAAACCCGGAAATGCAGTTGTCTTTTTGTCTGCAAAAATGCCTGAGACCTTTGGCAGGTAATGAGGAAAGGGACAGAGTTCTGTACATTTAGTGCAGTTGTTGGTGGGTCCTGGTGATTTGTGGAGTCAGCTCAGTGTCTGGGTCTCTGGGTGCACAGTGGGGAGAGAGGGCCTGTCCAAGTCCACCTTGGGTGATGCGAGTGGCATTGCAGGGGAGCCCTAAGGTGTCCACAATAGGATATGTTGTGAGATTAGGGTGCCTGTGGCCTCAGGACCTGCTCTTGTGGTTAAAAACCTCCAGATATAAATGTCTTAGTCCTGAGGGCACATTTTGCCATTTTTTTGCTGCTAACTCTGTGGGACTGCGCAATGTATGTTGTGAGATTAGGGTGCCTGTGGCCTCAGTCAGGACCTGCTCTTGTGGTTAAAAACCTTCAGATATAAATGTCTTAGACCTGAGGGCACATTTTGCCATTTTTTTTGCTGCTAACTCTGTGGGACTGCGCAATTTCAAACTGCAGAGTGGTGTTAATCGGTGAATGCTCTATGTGGCTCAGGTTTGTTTGGGGGTTAAATGATGGATGAACTTTTTGGGCGTCAATGTACTGGGGTAATGGGAGGAAG